ATCCAGTTTGCTGATGACATCTCTATACGATGTAGCAGGGAGTCTGCGGAAGCTGTTTCTGCACACCTTTCAGCTGCTGTTCAGCACCTGGCCACCTGGCTGAAGGGCCGTGGTTTAATTCTTAATGAAAGAAAGACACAGATATTGCCTATTCCCCCATCCCCATCTCAAGCACTTGAGCTGCATGTCATTTGTAATGGGCAGACGCTGCCTGTTGTGAAAACGGCCAAGTATCTTGGCCTACATTTCGACTCAGACATGAGCTGGAACACCATGACAAGCCATGTTGCACGCCGCGTTGCCGCTAAGATTGGGCTACTAAATCGAAGTGCAGCATGTTTGCCTTTTTCTTGCCGTGTTCAGTTTTTCAGGTCCTTTATACTATCAGAATTTGACTATGCATCTGCTGCCTATGCCCCTTTCTTATCGTCTTATCAGGATAAGCGCCTAAATAGTTTGTTCAAACGTGCGGCTCGCTCGGTGTGCAGGGCAGCCCCTCGCACTCACACGGCTCCCTTACTTGAACGCATGAATGCCCATACCCTCAGCATATACACCCACATGCACATCCTTGTATTCATTTGGCGCTGCCTGAACAAATCTTCAAGTACTCTGTTTGCAAGCTTTTTCACCCGTAGTCCCTCTCTCCGAACACGAGGAGGGAACAGCAAGTTACTCATCATTCCTGTCTCCCCCACTGCATCCTCAGCTAAGCGCATTAGCCATGCTGGAGCTATCCTGTGGAACCAGCTCCCAGACACAGCACGCCTCGAAAGAAAGCGCTCCACTTTCAAATCGCTAAGCCTGGCCTTTCTGTTAGGCAGTACCGTCAACTAGGATGAACTCATCTGCTTCACTACCTCTCTCTCTCTCTCTCTCTCTCTCTCTCTCTCTCTCTCTCTCTCTCTCTCTCTCTCTCTCTCTCTCTCTCTCTCTCTCACTCACTCACTCCTTTCTTCCCGGTTGCCGTGATTGTGACTTTTTTTTCCCCTGCTGCCGTGCTCATATTAGTTATCTAACTACAGCTGTATCTTCTTCTTGGTTCTGTTTGTCCGCTTATTATTATATTTTCTTTTCTCTTATTATCAGTGGGACCATTGTCATTAGGTTTAGGCCTGTTTTGGAACTCCACTTTAAATAAAGCCAAACAAACAAACAAACACAAATACTACTATATACTATTATATACTATTATTAACTGGTTTGAGGGAAAGAGACAAACGGGAAAGGTCTGAAGAAAAAATTGACTGTCACCACCAGGACTCGAACCAGGGACCCTCGCTTGTAGCCAGCGATGCTCTAACCACTGAGCTATGGTGTAGTCGTCATATACTATTATACTATTATATGTATAGATTATAGACCGGTTAGGAGGTCTATACAGGATATATAGACCGAGTAAAAGACCGAGGTCCCCCGAGGTCTTTTACGAGGTCTATATATCCTGTATAGACCAACTATGAGGTCTATAATCTATTTATCGTGTTCTCCACGTAATAGTTTCTCTTCATATACAACATATCCTTGTAATTCTAGTATTATACTATAGCCTATGCCGCATTGTACTGCATTGAAAGTCAAGATCATAGTCTAAACTAGGTTCAGCATCGGTAGCACAGTGGCTGGGTGGTAAGGAAGAGTGACTGAGATTCACAAGGTTGTGGGTTCAAATCCCATCTTGTGTATTTCTGCTTTCTTCAAAAATTTCTTTTTCTAAGTTGGAGAGAAAATTTCTAAGTCCAAGAAGTTCTAAGGAGTCAAATATAAGTAGTCAAATATATCGTGTATTTGACTAAGCAGTCAAATACGCGATATATTTGACCGCTTAGGTATCAGGGAAATTAGTGGGGTCAAATACTAAGAAGGCGATAAACTATTATATACTATTATAAACTATTATATAATATTATTTACTATTATATACTATTATTTGTATTTGTATTTTGTATTTATATCATTATCTCATGGCACATCATGATGACGGCCAATAAAACTGAGACAAGGGTGAAAGCCAACCACAGCAGTAAAACAGATAAAAGAATACAAATAAGAGGCAAAGAAGGCAAAGGAGGAGACAAACCAGCAGGATATACATGAAACCTATAATTGAGCAGAGATTTTAGCAATAAAATTATCCATCGACGTGCTGGTCTTGGCCTGCGTTGGTAATGTTGCCCAAAACACATAGCCAGCAAAGATCGGGGATCTAGTGAATAGGGTGGAGGCAGCGCGTGGGAGACTGAGTGAGTTCCGGGTGTTCCGTGTTTCGGAGAACCAATTATAAGCCTGCATATGCAAGGGTATTTTATTTAGTAATATTTTATGTATGAGAACACAGAGGTGGTACTTATGTCGAGTGGAAAGGGGACTGATCTTGGCAATTTCGTATAGACTAGCGGAGGGAAAGCGACGATCTTTGCTAAATAAGATTTTAAGGAGCATGCGGTTATGGGTTTCTAGCTTGTTCAATACAGTAGTAGTTATGCCACACCAAGCAGTATCACAGTAGTCAAGTAAGGGCAATATATAGCAACGATAAAACAAGCGTTTGCAAGAAAGAGGAAGATGTCTACAGTGGGCTTGAAGAGCCCCAAGGATGGAGCTTGTGCGCTTGCAGACATACTGCACATGGGGTGACCACGACAATTTAGAGTCAATAATAACGCCAAGATGCTTATGCTCTTCAACAATGCGAATAGCAACACTTGAAGAAGGAAAACAAAGTGGCAGGGAAGGGGGAGAAGGGGAAATGTACATAGCTGCCGTTTTATCAACGTTTGGCTGCAACTTCCAATCATGCATCCAGGTTATAACTTTCCCAATGCTTTCTTGCATGGCTTCGTGCAGGCGTATAGGGCAAGCATTGGAGCAAAGCAGAGCTGTGTCGTCAGCGAAAAGGCTATTGACTATTATTTACTACTATTTATCACTCTTCTATATCGACCTCCACTAATTCTCGTGATCCTTGACTGGTCCTATATTACCCATATCGCCGCAATATCGACCGCTTATATCGACCGCTTGTATCGACCACTTAGGCATTGTAATCTTTCGACTTTGGAGGGACTAAGAATTTTTCTCTCCACTTCAAAAAGAAAAATTGAAAGAAAGAAGACAAAGGAAGAGAACAAGCAGGATTCGAACTCACAACAGTATGAACCTCAAGCAACCCCTTATACCACCCAGCCACTGTGCTGCAGATGCTGAACCCTGTTGTTCTTACAGTCTTGTACCCAAAATAGGCAACATCCTATGTACACTATAGTACAAATGCTATTAAAAAGGTTACAATAGCTCCTAAAGGTTCAAATTTTGGGGTTATGGCAAAGGAATCGTGATAAATAGGATATTGACCTCGACTTCGGTCTATATGGGAAATATAGGCCTCGTAAAAGACCTCGGCCGACCTCGGTCTTTTACTCGGCCTATATTTCCCATATAGACCTCGTCTTGGTCAATATCCTATACATATTACTATGTTATTGCCCCCTCTGACAAAGTTACCGTAAGTATCTAGGACTGACTCTCGATTCAAATTTAAGTTTCAGTGCCCACGTTTACTCCCTCAGGGAAGACATCGGAAAGAAACTAGGTGCTTTTCGACGTGGAAGGAGGAACCTTGCTGTCCAGGCCAGAAGGCAGTTCTACTTGTCAGTAGTCCAGAGCAAGCTCGAGTACGCCAGCACTGCCTACGTCCACTGCCTCGCTGACAAAATGAGAGATTAGCTGCTACGCATGAGTAGGAGAGCACTTAGATGCATATTTGAGCATGACACATTCACGCGGACATCATACTTGCTTGAGCGATAGCACATAATGTACTTAGACAAAAGATATCATACTAAGTCCATATTCTTCGTGTTCCGTTGCATCCACAATATCTGCAGTTCACTCCTCTCTGACATGTTCTCCCTTCGCCGAGACTGCGCTCACACAGATAGAGTAACCCGCAGCCAAGTCAATTATTCCCTTTCCTTACCCATTGTGCAAGCTCAAGCTGGATACAGATCTATTTCATTCCTTGGTGCTGACCGCTTTAATGCGCTTCCCGAATCCCTTCGCACAAATCATATCCCCAATTCACTTCGCCAGAAACTTTCAATTTCTTTCATCTTGGGCACCCTGTGAGAAGACCTTAGGGTCTGTTGGGAATGCCCAAGTAAAATAATAAAATACAATACAATACAATACAAAATACTATTTGGTGTTCACGAGGTGTTTGTCGCGCTGGAAATGGAGCATCTCTGTAGGTTTGTATCCCTAACGAGGATTGTGCCTGGAGAGCTCTCTATAAGTGGTGCTCTTCAAGCACAATCTTCCTCAGCCTACTCAAGCTCCACTGATGAGGGATGAATTTCCCGAAACACTGTGTATTGAGCAGTGAATGGTCCAGGTTTGCTGAGTGGAAGATTCGATAGACTTCTCGTGTGCTCGGGATGGCTGTGGTGAGTCAGTCTAGTGAGAATTCAAGTTGGCAGGGAGAGCACCAGCTCCCACGTAGGGAGCAACACACAATTTTCCAAGTATCGCCGAAGTCGCACCAACCTCTTCTTCAGATTGAATATTACCGGTATATAGTTCATAAATCTAAGACACGAAACAGTGCGTACGCTCAGTCGATTGTAGCTCAATTCTGTATGGTACACCTCGCACAATGACCTCACCTTACGGGGAGTTGTTTTTTTTGCTGAACGAGTCTGTATAATGTTCTTGATACAAGAGTGCAAGGAGCCTTGCTGTCGATGCCCCCCCCCCCCCCCCACACACACAAGTTCTTTGTTCTGTGGTGAGGTGTGTGTGTGTGATAGAGCGTGCATGTGTGTGTGTTTCTGTGTAGGAATGTGTAGGCGCTTGTACAGGTGAGTATGTGGTACAGGTATGTGAGTGAGAAAGGTAGACTAAGTCCTGCAGCCACGTCCTATGGAGGGTCTACGTGTAAAGTGGTATTGGGATCAGATCGAGGGATCTAGATGAAATGGTTTTCCTGCTTTTGTACTCACTGCTTGATTGTTGACAGTCCTGTGGCATATGACAATGCGAACGGCTCCGGCCAATGATGTCCACACAAGAGCAATTGTAACCAGAGCTTTTCAGTTGGCATTGTGTATATCCGAAACAAAGTGGGTATTGCCCATTTCCAAGGCAAGTAAATCCAGGTGTTGAGCATGTTGGGGTAATAACTGGTACTGAATCATTACAGCGGCAGTAATAATCGGTGGTTCCGTTATTCACAAACATTTGAAAATATCCAATGGCGCAAGAAGTGGACACTGGAGAATATGAAGGAGAAAAAAACAGTGAAAGACTATGCATTGGAGCATTTGATTTCATAATAGCAGTTATCACAATTGTTCTGATAAGTAGAAAAGGTTGCACTGTGTGGTCAAATCCATCAATCCATTCTCTTTTCTCTTATTCTCTTACTCACTGACGCGCGGAATGCAACAATCGATTTCAGATGATAAAATTCTTTAAAATTCCATCAATTCGTTGTTGTTTGGTCATGTCTGCATCACATAGTTATATTCTTTATTGCACGTATAAATTTACTTTCTCATCGCCGACTCTTCAAATTACATGTATTATCTTTTTCTTTCTTTCCTTTCTTTTCTTGCCGTGGTTGGCTATCAGCCCTCTCTCGTATGTTGTGTGCCAATTGGTCATGAACAACGAGTTACATGAAATAAAGCAAAATAAATTCGGAATAGCGCTTCACGCAGCTTCATGATATCAGCTCGTATTGAGGCAACACTGCTAAAAAATAGGATGCACTGCTACCTCACACAGTCCAACAATCCTTGCTTCACAACGTTTTGGTCACTCTGACCATCTTCAGGATGGAGTGGGCAAGGAAACAAGGCAGACTTCAAAAACAACAAGCTGGCTAGGTGGGTGCCGAATACAGCGATGAAATACTACAAGTCCCAACCGAAAAATGTCACCTGCCACAAGATCACAATGGTGTTGACAGTCGTCACATGATGTGAGAGACTAAGGTGTCGATATGTACAATTTGTGGGTTCCACACAAGTAGTAGGTAACGAGCGGGTTCTGTGCCAGGCGGCGCCCTGCCCCAAAAATGGGGCATTATTGAAAATATGTATTGGGTGCCTGTGGGTTCGAATCTCATTTTTTCATTTTTTAGGGGTGGGGTGTTATTTATTTATTATTTTTTTAGTTATTTATTTTTGCACCTCGTGGCATGTCAAGACAGCCAATTGAATTGAGGAGAGGGTGAGACCAACAACGGAAGAAGAGAAAAAAAGAAAATGAAGAGCACGTACACAAAGTGGGAAGGGATTAGCAACTTAAAAAGCAATGGGATGCTCAGCGAGCTATGCAGCGTAAGTGGTGACTGTGACTTTGTTTACTGGGAGATACTGAAGTGCTGTCTGACGAGGGTACGGAATTTGGGCATATCTGGAGCTTGTCTAACACTGGGAGGCAGTTGGAGCCACGTGGAGTAGGAGGAAAAGAAAGGAGAATTTACGAATAGGGTAGACCTAGCTAGGGGGAGACGAACGCAGCTTATGCCCTGCCCTACATCATACATCTGCATCATGTTGCATTATGATGTCTAAAATATCACCGTTTCTAATGTCAATTTTATGTCACTTTTTCTTTCAGTACTCTGTCCGTTTTGTGCCTAGTTGTTGAACTTTCTGACTGTATAATAGTATCTAGTTACATTTTTTTATCACATTGCATAAACCTACGGAAGAAGGGGAGACAAAACGAAGACGAAACAAAAAAGACAACAATGGGTGTGTAGGCGCTACATGAGCTGCGCTGGTGAGATACAGTGGACTCCCCTACCAAGGGTCTCAGGATCGGCGTACAAAGCAAGCACCATGGGAGAGGGGGGCGAGAGGAATGGCGGAGAGAGAGAGAGAGAGAGAGAGAGAGAGAGTGAGTGAGTGTGTGTGTGAGAGAGAGAGAGAGTGAGTGAGTGTGAGAGAGAGAGAGAGAGACAGAGAGAGACAGAGAAAGAGACAGAGAGAGAGACAGAGAGAGAGACAGATAGAGAGACAGAGAGAGACAGAGAGACAGAGAGACAGAGAGAGATAGAGAGAGGGAGAGAGAATGTGCACAAGAAAGAAGAGAGAGAAAGAGAAAGAAAGAGATGGGTAAGTGAGGGAAAGAGAGTGAAAGAGGTGGAGAGATATAAGTATAGAGAGAGAAAGAGTTCAGCGGCATATCGTCGCTATGACTATAGTGCTACTTTTAGAAGAGGGTCAACATAATGATTTGCATCCACTGATGGCGGGCCAGGGTGATACATGTGCATGGCTAGCACCAGTCATGAGCAGAGCACCAGTCACTCTGTTGCAGGTGACGGTATGCAGCAATCTTGAAGCTCTGCAGGTGTTTCCGGGCTGGGTGCTTGTCCAGATTGCCTGTGGCAGTCTATTCCACACTGGCACGATGCAGTATGGGAAAGAGCGCAGAAGGTAATCAGGAGCTCGTGGCGAGAAATTCAGCTTAAGCTGGTGGGGATGGTGCTGTGCTTGGGCTGCTCGTGTGCGCCGATGACGTGGCGGTATAGCCGGCGGGGGACACATGGCTTCACCTTGAGGCAGACCATGGCCACACATCAGTTTGTACAGTAGGCAGAGAGCAGAGACCTTTCGCCGAACAAGGAGGCTGGGAAGAATGGTACCAGGGCCAATGACATTTAGGGCGCGGAGCTAGACAGCATCCAGCATGGCCAGGTGTGAGGGAGCTGATCCCATCCACGCCAGGGGGGCATATTCCAGCATTGGCCGGACGAATCCTTTGTGAACAGTCACCCTGCCCGCGTGGCTGAGGAGGGGTGCTGCCTTCTGCAGGAGGCCCAGCCGCTGCTTAGCACGTGATGCCACTTGCCGAAGGTGGAGTCTGTAGCTCAGTTTAGAATCAAACGTCACTCCGAGCACCTTCACAGATTCATCTGGTGGGAGAGGAGTTCCGCCAAATGACAGCTGGGGAGTCACTGTGTCCTTCCGCTGGTGCGACAGAGTGATAGTTTGGGATTTTGATGGCTCAAACGCAATCTTCCATCTCTTGCCCCAGGCATGAAGCTCATCTAGGCTGCGTTGTAGTGAGGCATTCGAGGCTTGTTCAAGGAGGGAGTACAACGTTGTATCATCAGCAAAAGTGTTCAGGTTTGTGCCATGCGACAAGCAGCTTGAAATGTCATTTACGTACACGAGGAACAATGTAGGTCCAAGGATATTGCCTTGTGGGACGCCAGACTGGACAGGGTGCACCGATGAGCTCTGGCCATGAACAACAGCTTTAATGGTGCGACATTGCAGGTAGTAGGTAAGCCATGCGAGCAGTAAACCCCCTATCCCCAGCTGGCGGGCCTTGTAAAGTACGCCAGCATGCTGATCTCTGTCCTCAAGAAGGACCAGTTCCAAAAGATTGCAGGTCCAGTGCGCTTTCAAGCTTCAAAAATCTAGGAAATCGCCTCATTCTGCACATTTTAAGCAGCTTCTCAATTGTTTCTGGCTTGACATTGAACAGCAAGAAGATGAAAAGCACTTCTTTCTCAGTTTTTTCGAGTAAACTACCTCTCCAACCACGTGGCTTTCTCTGAAGGCCATTTTGTAGGGGCTTTCCCATGGCCATGTGCTGGATGCATACCATGTCGATGTACTGACATGACGATCTATGATGCATGCTGTCATGCACAAGGACGTAGACTACTCAGTAACCAGGGGTGACTACAGTCAGTACTCTGTACTGTATAGTAGTCTAGTGACTAGTGTAGAGTGACTGAGTCAGGGAGTCGTGATTTTATGACTGCCTCTTGAGAAAATTTAATAGCAACTTGTTTGGTGTGAATTTCTAGGTGGTAATAGGCAGTGGTATGGTTTTAGGACAGCGTTTAGAGTGGCTGAAAGCTTTGCCAGCTAGATAATTGGTTTCATTCTGCAGCTCACTGGTTTGAGAATACAGTGTTTTTTGCAGCTTCTTCAACGGGTATTGTGCACCATCATCAAGGTGGTTTCTTGTTTGTGATGTAGCTTTAACTAAAAGTACAACAAAATCAACAGCCTACATTCAATAGCCACAGCCCATGACAACCAGAACAACAACAACGACTACAACAACAATAACATAGAAATTGTCCATGAACATAAGCACCTTGGTATAATTATTGACGACTGTCTAACATGGGCTCCTCATGTAGACTATATTTGTAAGAAAACTAGTAGTGTTCTCGGCATACTATATCCTCATCGTTCTTATTTGCCAAATACATGCCGTTCTATGCTCGTATCTACTATTTTCCAGTATGCATGTCAGTCCTGGTGAAGTCTAAGTCAGCATCTTGTGAACAAACTTGAAATCCAACATAAATCTCTTCTTAAAATATTGTTTAACAAGCAGCGTTTATTTCCTAGTCTTGAGCTCTATTGTATCAGCAATACTCAGCCACTGCAAGATAATCTCAAACAGCAGCTTTGCATTTTGACCCACAGAATTCGCCTAGGTAAAATTCCCTTTCATATCTCCGTATTCAATTGGTTTTCTCTGTCCCGGTCCACTCGTAATGGTCTCTCACTTCCCCGTGCTAATTCAGCCGCATTTACCAACTCTCCTCTGTTTTTGTCCTACAGCTTTTGGCTGCAACTTCCCCAGCATGTTAAGACATCAAAATGTCTTTCAAGCTTTAAAAATGCACTCCGATCGCATAATGTAGTACGATAGTACGATAGGATCTCCTTGCTGGATTCTTGTCTATCCTTCTTTTTTTTCTTTTTCTTTATTCCTTTCTTTTCTTTTCTTTTCTTGCCGCGGTTGGCTATCACCCCTCTCTCACACTTTGCGTGCCAATTGGGCAGGGACCACGAGTTGTGTGAAATAAAAATTAATAATTAAATGAATAGATGTGGCAGGCCTCAACGCCTTCACAATATCCATGAATTTTACTAGTTCATGCACATCCAGAAACAGTTCCTTCATACACTGGTAAATAAGCTCGTAGATAGTCATGGCATCTGGTTGCTAAGTAGCAGCCCAGGAGAAGAGAAGGGTACAACACTTTGAAAGGGGCTGAAACGCAGTCCTTAAAAGCCTAAACTTGCACTCATGTCTAGAAGCATATGCGTCCACCTGGGGAAAAAACGATGCACATAATTATTCAGTCCATGTTTTTCTTGTTACTGAGTGTCATTCATCGTGACGGTCGAGGAATCCGAGTATGCCAAAGCACGTATTCCTAAAAAGCAGTTCCTCATATGGCAAGTGACGTTTACACATTGCTTGTTATTGCAACTCTGTGTTCATAAGAAATTTTTATGCAAGTAATTCACGTTTTGCCAGTATCTGACTTCATCCTTCGCAATTGCCGATACGCAAACAATGTACTTTGGTTGCCTAAAGCCAAAAATAGTGCCTGCATGAATCCTAATGTGTTGTCTACATCATCAATGTAACTAGTGACAGCCTGCACTGCAGACAAATTTATAACTTGTCTTGCACATGGCAATATATGCAGGTGTCAAATGACACCTGTTGGCCATGCTAGGAATACTGAAAAAGGTGTACGTCCTAGGGTTAATATCATCAACACAGCGGTTAATTTTGTTACAGCGTGGCTTGGTCTGCATCAAAATTATCTTGGTAACAATTGTGGGTGATGAAACATTGGAGATACCATGGAATGCATTAGACCGTTTGTTATGATTTTGACCATCAAAGTCGTAGCATACCTTTGCTTATGTACACCTCAACCATTGGATCAACCGAAACACAGGGGGCATAACAGCGACTTTCGCTGGAGGTGATTTTGCCGATACCATATAAAATGACATAGAGACGTGGCGTTATAATCAGAGAATTACCATAGAGAAATCTACAGAAGACGAAAGAAATCAAAGCAGATTGGGAATTAAGAAACAATAATGGAGGAAATAGTGTTATCTACTTCGCTGATGAATTGTTATGAAGATTTTGAGCGCCACACTGGAAATCGCGCTCATTGGTCCAAAACCCGCTAAACAGAGAGTCCTGGAGGCCGCTCAGTTTTTATCAGCTTCATCCAGCCGCGCAATCCCTATAAGAAGTACACATTTTCAACAGGTCCCCTATACAGGAGTCCAGTTTATCCAGTCATGCCACCCTGTGTGTAGTGCCCGAAAGAGAACAAACACCTTTTCAATTTGCCTCGTGGCAGCGCATTCTTTTCTTCACTTCTGCCATGCTGCCAGTTCTGCTATGCAGTTGCTGACAGTAATCTGTCTCGAGGTAACGTTTCAGCATTGCGCGGGATGAAAGCAGAAATCGGAGAACGGGAAAAGTTCAGCACAGTTCAAAACTGACGAGTCAGGTACCCTTACACTCTCTTTCGTTGGACGCCGCAAGGATATCTTGTTTCACTGGCCATGGCTGCTAGTTCTGCTGTGCATTTGCTGACAGTAATCTGTCTTGACGTAACGAAGGAGGAAAAGGGACACGCTCAAAATCAAATCTGGAAAGCGTCTTGTGATTCTCTGAAGAAGTTGCAGCAGTGCGCGGTACAACGGCAGAAAGTGGAGAACGAGAAAAGTGCAGCACAGTTACGATATGAGGAGTCAGATACACTGACACTCTTTCGTTCGACGCTACAAGAATACCCTGTTTGACTGGACAAAAGCTGCTTGTACCACGTTGTCAAAAGGCTGTCCAAGTACCTGACAGGACGATGACAGAGGTATTTAAAGGAAGTTATTACTCATTCCATTCTTCTGCTGTTCTGTTGTTAGGCTTGAATGTTTTCCATTTTCAAGGAGCGTTTCGCGTTTGTTTGATGTTGCTTGAATGAACGGCCTAAAAGTACTCAACGTCTTCATAATAGTTGCGTGACAATAATATCAGTCCTCAAGGACTGAAATTGCAAGGACATTGCATCAATCGTCTAGCTATCATCAATTTCATTTCATGACAATTTTTTGTTATCCCTGTGATAATGTGAACTGCACGGTACTCTTCCTCTAGTATGATGTCAAATACAATGGGATCCACAAACGCAATGTAAGTGTGCGCGCACCCGTCCACAGCATTCGTTTCGTATAATTATTTTGTGATTCTATAACATCGAAGGTTGTGTTTGGTTGAAGCATTTTCTGCCTATAATAGGTGTGGATAGTGTCAGTGTTCGCATCATACCCACCCACTGTGAGTGGGGTGCGGTTACAGTCACTACGTTTGGAGACACCTGGGGGGTCACATTCCCTAGAGCAAAACTAATTGTCCAACTTCAATCCGAAGTTGATAATTTTGAGTGAATTGCTGTGAAACACGGGGGGGGGGGGGTAGGAGTGGATGAGATTGATTAAGCTTGTTGTAATGAAATGGAGCGAATACGGGTGCACTTCCAACCTATTTGCATCGAGTGCAACGGCTGTACTCACCCAACATCACCAGAGAAGAGAGACGAGACCATGAAGATGGTACTACAAAACCCCTAGGATATCCTGAGTAAAGGTGACACCATGTGAGAGGTTCAAGGTACTCATCCAGTACCAGATGGAGACTATAAGAAATATTCCGGGCAAGTGCAAGAAGCACTGGCCTATATCCCTGAAGAAGATCACTCCTTTCCTAACTCCGAAGTGAAATCAAACCCTCGAGTAAAGGCAATGTATGATAGAACATTTAAGAGAGCATGTCTGAGAAAACCAGAACATATGTGCAAGTCGATCTCTCAGATTTCGCTCAAATTTTGCAGGTAGGTTTGCTTTGGGTTGTAGATCGACATTCCAAAGCCCGCACGAAATCTTTTGAAGGGAACCATGAAATTGGTATACCCCTCAATATTGGCCCAATATTGGCACGATTTATGGGTCTACAAACGAGCCACGGCGCAGCGTACAAGAACAAGCTACGAACAAAACTCCATCAAGCCAACATTACCTCACCTTAGAAGGGTTCTTGGGGCAGCACCACTTAGCCACGCAAGCATCTCAGAAGACGAGGGCAATCATCCCTTGACGCCACAAATGTCGTCTTGAATTTAGCCACATTTCAAGCGCTGATAAAACAGCGAGCTACGTCCTCAATTAGCAAACACTATACACCGGCAGATAGTAGAACACCTCTTCTAGCACTGAGGACATTTCCCCCATCATCCTTTTTGGGTTTTATTGAAATAAACAATTTTGAATTTTTCCACTCGACCATTCTGAAATACGTCCAAACTCATACCTGCGCAGGAAAGCTCGCCCCTCCGCGACGTCTAGTCAGCAATTTCTACTCCAACACCACTCCCAACGCTGCAGAACAAAGTGTATTGTTGACTCTGACAAGGAAAAGCAGTGGTGATCAATTGTCACTCCAAACGACAAGCTTCTCCTTGCGCCACCAACATGTTTCGGTGCAACAATTGATGCAAAAGTGACTGCATTTTTGCGTGTAGTTTTTGGATTTTACTGCAACGTTGTCACTCGGAGAACGACGCATCTTCTGGATGATAGGCCATAACTCTGCATCGTGTTGATATGCTTCTGCTACCGTCTTCAAGAACTGATCATCAATTGCCAGAGCAAACTCAAGAGCGTTACACTGTGCAGCAGTCAGTTCTGTTTGAACTACTGAGATCTCGCCCGGCTGAAGGTCAGGACGACGAGACAAGGCATCAGCAGCCGCATCGTTCCCTCCAGGCTTATGATGGACCGTAAAGTCGAAATCCGCCAGTAACTCTACCCAACGGGCCTCTCTTTTGGTGAGGGTAGGTTTGGTTCTCAGGTGTACAACGGCCATGTTATCCGTGAACACATCGAAGAGGTACACTCGCCCACACTTCAGGGATTGGACTAGAGCGAGGGTTTCTCTTTCTCCGGCTGTGTAGTTGCGCTCGGCGGAGGACAGTCTCCAGCTAGCATACGCGACTGGATGCCAGAGATTTCCTGGTTCGCCTTGCTGCTGGAGCACTCCAGCAATGGCGAAATCGCTAGCGTCGGTTTCTACTCTGAATGGCCTTTTAACATCAGCAAGTCGCAATACGGGTGCACTCAGTAAGGCCTTCCGCAGCTTCTCAAATGCAGACTGACGTGCGCTGTTCCACTCAAAACGCGAGTGTTTCCCTGTGATTTCCTCCAAAGGTCTCAAAATTATGAAATAGTGATCAATGAACCGTCTGAAATAGTTCGCGAAACCCAAGAACTGTCTCACTTCCTTTATAGAGGACGGCGCAGGCCACTCCTTAACCGCAGCAATTTTGTTTGGGTCGGGAGAGATAGATAAACCACTCAGCTTGTGGCCTAGGAAGATTACATCCCGCAACCCAAATTCACACTTTGAGGGTTTGCAGAATAACTTGTTGGCTCTCAAGTTTCCAAAACAGTGCTGACATGCCTCAAATGCTCGCTCCATGTTTTACTGAAGATAAGGATATCATCAAGGAATACGACCACGAAATCACGTAAATAGGGCTGCAGTATTGAATTCATCAAGGCCTGGTAAGTGGCAGGCGCATTGGTTAGACCAAATCCCATTACCCGAAACTGGAAATGTCCAAAGGGGGTTATAATTGCCGTTTTGGGTTTTGGGGCTTCGTACGGGGACTTACTAGGCTCGATGAATCCTTTACCCAGGAGGGCTGTCAGCTGCTTGTGTAGTTCATCCATCTCGGGCTTGGATAGTCTGTACGCTGCCTTGGATTGTGGCGTTGAGTTGTGTTCGACCTCAATCTCGTGGTCCACTGACCTTTCTGGGGGAAGCTGTGAAGGGAGGTCATCGGGGAACACGTCCGAGAATCTGTGCAGTAGCTCATCGACGTCACGCTGCTTGTCCGGAGGTACCTCCTTCCGAGGCACATGTGACGAACTGTCGCCGGGGGAAGATAGCCAAGCCAGGTAACCCTCTGCGCCTTTTCGTAGCGCATGTCGCGCTTGTTTGCCAGAGATGAACATCAGCTCCGAGGGAACAGCAGCGTCGCCTGTGGGTTCACCCCCGATTAGAGATTCGGCACCCAGTTTGACCTCATTGGTGCGGTAGTTGATAGTTGGGTTAGTCCGGGTCAGCCAGGGTTTTCCCAGGATCACATCATATCGATCAAGGGGAAAGACCATCAGGCGCTGGTCATCGCCATAGCCTCCTACGGCCAAGCAAGCATCGGTGGTCTCTAGCGGCTGCGAACTGGTTGATCCGTCCGCCAAGGACACCTTTAGAACCTCCTCCACGATCTTCGTTTTCATCCTTTGTTTTCTTGCGAATCGTTCCGAGATACAATCGTGTGTTGACCCGCAGTCGATTAACATTGTCGCTCGGTGGCCGTTCACCTTTCCGTTCACAACAAGGAGATCATGGTCCCGCGCGTGCGAATCCAGGGCAATTTTGCTGACTTAGCTCCGCACGCACTGTGGGCCTTGAGACTCCAGGGTGTCGTCGCCATCATCAGTCTCCACATCGTCTGTCTCCAGGCAACTAAACCTGTTGGCGACTGGCACGGTGACCTTGGGTGCTCTCTCACACGCCAGTAATCGCACTCCTCTTTTTACTGGCGTCCAGCGTTTGGGTTCGAGTCACATTGACGTGCCAGATGACCAGGTCGGTGGCATATGTAGCATCGTCGTTCCGTTTCCTCGCGATTGGAATGGGGACCAGGAACCGACAGTGGACGACGTACCGGGTTCCCCTGCTGCTGTGGTACCGTAACGAAGGGCATCACTTGCGATACGGCGAGCGCTGCTTCTGTCGCTTTCTGCAGGGTTGTAGGATGCTCCTTCATGACTTCACGCCTGAGCTCCGGGGCCAGGCCCCTGACAAATAGTACTGCGCGAGAGAGGGCATCCATGTCAGTGATTAAAAACTGAGCCGCGAGAATTCTGCGATGTAGTCTCCTAAGGCGCCGCGCTGGGAGAGGGA